AATTTCAATGGAAAAGATTTTTGTCTTGAGAGAATTTCTTAACCATGGTTAACACTCCATCAACAATACAATGAATAAAGAAATATCTTCTCCATTAAAATTCAAAATTTTACACCTGTCACTCATTTAACACTATATTAAAGAGAATTGAAAGGAATAGGTAATGGACGAGATCTAAATCCCGCAACGAAAACCCAACCCAATCACCAAGCTGCCACAACCCAACCACATAGATAGTGATATTAGTATTTCATTATCTAATTTCATTGAAATTAGTTTTTTGAGTTAACTACCTATTTAGTACTTAAATTATACAATTTGTTTCAATTAAGCCCCTCAACTTTGGTTTGAGTAAATTTAACTCCTCAACTTGTCAATTTGTTTCAATCAAAACCTTCTATTCAATTCAGTCGTTTACTGTGACGGACAGACGCATGCGTGGCTCACGTGAGACAAGTTCTAGGGGTAATTAAAGGAAAATGAAGTATTTTGGTTCAACTGTTCGTCTATTCTTTTCCCTTCATCATATTCCCTCCACTGTTCACAAAAACCTAAAGGCCTTGGTTTCTCTGATTAATCTGCCACTTCACTTGAGTTTGGTTACCAGAACAATGGCTTGAGTGATGCGACCTACAAATTAGTTTTTGAATCCATATAAAATTTAATGTAAGTCATGATTCTAAGTTTTTCTAAGTGTTTGAAACAAGAAGAATATTATATTATTTGATTTTTAGGTTTCAATTTTCTATTGGTGTTGACAGATCTACCTTTTGTTTTTTGTCTTGTATTATATGTTGAAACCCATGATGATCTAATTGCAAGGATCATCAATTATAACTACAAACATCCTTCTTTGATTCCTCTANGATGTTGACAGATCTACCTTTTGTTTTTTGTCTTGTATTATATTTTGAAACCCATGATGATCTAATTGCAAGGATCATCAATTATAACTACAAACATCCTTCTTTGATTCCTCTGCATCTATGTTTAGCAGCAACCAAATTATGACACAACAAACTCCTAATGCTACCCATAATATCTTATCTGTTGCCTTGACCTTCCCTTTTCGAGCCTCTACAATATTCAATCTTTGAAGAAGTTCTGGAATCACTCGTCGTGCACGCATGCACATTGGCGAGTCTTGCCAAATGAAAAAACTGCACCCACCATTCTGTAGCATTAAATGATGTAGAGAATAAGCATTAAGGGAAGGGAAGAAAAAAAGGAATTCTCCATACAAGTTGGATACCTGTACTCATGTTTGGACATGTCAAAAACCTTCTTCCAAGATTGTCCATGCAATTACAAGCATATCCATAAATTTGTCACTAAGATTCTCCATCTTCCCCGCATTTTCTTGTTAAATGTTAATCTTTCTTTACTCTATTTCTGAAAACTCAACACATAGCACTTTATGCTTTGTGTTGTTAGCCACGTGATTGGCAGATGATGTAAAGGAGGAAAGTTGTGGAAGCTTTGGAGTATAAATACTTTATTTTCCCTTAATTACCCCTGGAACTTGCCTCACGTGAGCCATGTGTATGTATGTTCGTCACAACAAACGGCTGAATTGGATGGAAGGGCTTGATTGACACAAATTGACAAGTTGAGGGGCTTAATTGACACAAACTATATAGTTTAAGGGCTAAAAAGGTAGTTAATTCTAGTTTTCTTTTTGAAGCAATTGACAACAAAACTAGTAAATTCAAATCTTTGCTCTTGTGAAGAAATGAATTACATCACAGAGAAACAATGTCACCCAAAACCATACAAAAAATAAGATTTTTGCATCTACAAATCTAATAAACTTTGTAAAATGAAATAGAAATATCATGATTAGGTTTTCAACAGCCAAGACAAGTAAAAGAGAATGGACTCTGCTCAACTTTCTCACAACCTTCTTCTCTGCACAACACATGGAGGTTCCTCTCTTTAAAGAAATATCAGGATAGTTACTTGGTCATACAAATCTACGGCCCAACAAAGAACAACTGCTATTTTAGTTCGATACTTCAGCGCAGAATAATTTGGGTAGTCTTCTTTATGTCTTGTTGAGATTTCTACTTCATTTGATAGTTTGAAATCTAAAAACTATTGAGAAGAGAGAGAAGAAAACAANGCAGAATAATTTGGGTAGTCTTCTTTATGTCTTGTTGAGATTTCTACTTCATTTGATAGTTTGAAATCTAAAAACTATTGAGAAGAGAGAGAAGAAAACAAAGAACAATAAAATCAAATGTGTTGTGCGGAGAAGTTGGTTTTCAACAGCCAAGACAAGTAAAAGAGAATGGACTCTGCTCAAATTTCTCACAACCTTCTTCTCTGCAAAACACATGGAGGTTCCCCTCTTTAAAGAAATATCAAGATAGTTACCTGATCATACAAATCTATGGCCCAACAAAGAACAACTGCTATTTTAGTTTAATACTTCAGCGCAGAATAATCTGAGTAGTCTTCTTTATGTCTTGTTGAGATTTCTTCTTCATTTGATAGTTTGAAATCTAAAAACTATTGAGAAGAGAGAGAAGAAAACAAAGAACAATAAAATCAAATGTGTTGTGCGGAGAAGTTGGTTTTCAACAGCCAAGACAAGTAAAAGAGAATGGACTCTGCTCAAATTTCTCACAACCTTCTTCTCTGCAAAACACATGGAGGTTCCCCTCTTTAAAGAAATATCAAGATAGTTACCTGATCATACAAATCTATGGCCCAACAAAGAACAACTGCTATTTTAGTTTAATACTTCAGCGCAGAATAATCTGAGTAGTCTTCTTTATGTCTTGTTGAGATTTCTTCTTCATTTGATAGTTTGAAATCTAAAAACTATTGAGAAGAGAGAGAAGAAAACAAAGAACAATAAAATCCAATTCTTAACGAAAAACCTTCTTAATATGATTGAGTTAGTTTTGTCCTTAGAGAATGCTTTGATAAGTATCTTGGACTTAATGGCAAAACTCTTTTAAGCACATGCCCTTTAAGCCCAAAAACTCTTAATCACATGTCCTTGAGGACTTATCTATATAATAAAATAGAGCTGAGTTTGAATTTTAGAGACAAAGAGAGGTCCAAATTGTTTTGAGACAAAACACAAGCACATCCAACGGACAATGTAATATTAACATAAAAGACAGTTCAAATCATCTANAGAGCACTTTATGCTTTGTGTTGTTGGCCACATGATTGGCAGATGATATAAAGAAGAGAAGTTTTTGAAAACTCAACACAGAGCACTTTATGCTTTGTGTTGTTGGCCACATGATTGGCAGATGATATAAAGAAGGGAAGTTGTTGAAGCTTTGGCGTATAAATACTTTCTTTTCCATTAATTACCCCTGAAACTTGCCTCACGTGAGCCACGTGTACGTCACAGTAAACGGCTGAATTGGATGGAATGACTTGATTGACACAAATTGACAAGTTAAGGGGCTAAATTGATACAAACCAAAGTTGAGGGGCTTAATTGACACAAATTGTATAGTTTAAGGGCTAAATAGTTAGTTAATTCTAGTTTTCTTTTTGAAGCAATTGACAACAAAACTAGTAAATTCAAATCTTTACTCTTGTGAAGAAATGAATTACATCNACTGTATAGTTTAAGGGCTAAATAGTTAGTTAATTCTAGTTTGAAGCAATTGACAACAAAACTAGTAAATTCAAATCTTTACTCTTGTGAAGAAATGAATTACATCACAGAGAAACAATGTCACCCAAAACCATAACAAAAATAAGATTTTTGCATCTATAGATCTAATAAGCTTTGTAAAATGAAATAGAAATGATGGTGTTTACAATGCCAATTGAGTAGAATGAAAAAATCACTCAAGTTGATCCGAATCAATGTGTTCAAGGGTTAGGGGATTGGCATAGCTTGCACAGTAAAATATAGTGGTTTACCGAGAGAGCTTAACTAGTCCACTCTTCAAATGAAGTCTCTTACTCCTTGAGTTTGTATTAATTGTGGTTGTGATTTACAGAGTATCTTTGATAACACTAGGGCTCCTCTTCTACATTGGAGGCTTTGTATAGTATTTATAGCCATGTTCCTATTTCTAAGGGATCTTCAGTGAGGTCCTAGTCAAAAATCCGCGGGATTTCCCTTGATATTGAGAGGGTATCTTGGGTGGTTGAGAGTTTTACGTCTTAATTATAGTCCTCTTGTNAGGGATCTTCAGTGAGGTCCTAGTCAAAAATCCGCGGGATTTCCCTTGATATTGGGAGGGTATCTTGGGTGGTTGAGAGTTTTACGTCTTAATTATAGTCCTCTTGTCGTTTTGTGGATGCCTCTTATTAGCCAGATGTTCTTCTCTCACCTCCTCTGATTTTTCATCCGAGAGAGGCTCGAGACCTAGACTTCTGAGCTCTAGGCTCCTCATCTGACCTCATTGCCCGAGCTCATTCTTAGCTAAAACTCTTATTCATGTATCATCAAGAAATATCATCATTAGGTTTTCAACAGCCAAGACAAGTAAAAGAGAATGGACTCTGCATAGCTTTCTCACAACCTTTNAAGAAATATCATCATTAGGTTTTCAACAGCCAAGACAAGTAAAAGAGAATGGACTCTACACAGCTTTCTCACAACCTTCTTCTCTTCACACCACATGGAGGGTTCCCTCTTTAAACAAATATAAAGATAGTTACTTAAATCTTTATTTCCAAGTATGTCATCTCTAGTTGCAGAAGGACAATGCAAATGGAAATAACTTACCCAAGTCCTGGGTCTGTGAGAGCAAGCCAATGGTTCTTTGTCCTTTTCCCCGACCCCTTTGAACCCTAGAATTTCCTTGTCAAATCTTCTCTCATACTCCCCTATTTTCCTTTAATCCTCCCCTTTCCTACCTTTACCCACCTCATTCACTCAGATCGCCAATACTTCTCACCCTATGTTCTCTTCTGCAAATCCGCTACCCAACCTTGTTTTCCATTGATTTATGTAAACCGACCTAAATTAGCCATGACAGAGGAGGCATTTACTTCCAAAGATCCAGACAAGATCGATGGGGCTCCTACCTAGTCTACCAACTACCAAACCATTAATGGAAGTGGGTCACTCCAATCTCTCACTAAAACATCACTAGGCAGTGAACAAAAAGATACCCCACCAAACCCACCATCTTTGCCACTAACTAGCTGGCCGAAGAAGTTATTACAAACACGATTACTTCTGCTATTTCAACCACAGTTGATGTTGAGATAGTGGACCACCGTAGCTACCAAGAGTTCCCAACTCTCCCTGCCTGTAACAATGTTAGGGACTATTCCCCTGTTCCTACGGCTGGGAGACCTTCAAATGGGAAGCATCCAAGCAAGCATGGGAGTGTTCCACAAACTAGGCTCACACCTGCCAAGCCATGGAGCCAAGTCTTAAAGCAAAATGCAAGGGAAAAATCCAACTCTCTACACCAACACCCTTCTAAGGTAATGAACCTTCAATACTTTGAACCCAAAAAAGAGAAGAATAGAATCATTGTCCATATCCCATAAAAGTTGTCTCTAAGGGCTGTTATAAGTGAAGAAACTACATAGTTGGTTACTTCATAGAGAAAAAACTCCCTTTTACATCTGTTAGCTTTATAGCTACAAGATTTGGGGCAATATGGGCCTCCTTGAGGTTTATGCTAATGAAATTGGGTTCTATTTTTTTAAGTTCAAGGATGATGAGTCTAGAACCAAAGTTTGTGAAGCTGGCCCTTGGCTTTTTTCTGGAAGGCCATTCATCCTCAAAAAATGGCATCCTGATCTCATTCTAACCAAAGAGAACCACTCTTTAATTCTACTATGGATTAAGTTGCATAACATCTCCCTCCAATTTTGGAGTGATGAAGGGCTAAGTTATCTTGCTAGTGCAGTTGGTAAACCGTTTTGTGCTAACACTATCACTGCAAAGAAGAGGAGATTAAGTTACGTAAGATTATGTGTTGAGGTGAATGCTGCTGAAAAACTAGTTGTGAGCTTTGACCTCCTAATGGACATGTAGGGGAAAACTGAAACCCTAGAGATCAAGGTAGAGTACAAATGGAGACCTAAAATTTGTCATAACTGTTGCATTTTTTGTCACAATGAGCCAACTTGTCCCAAACAAAGAACTGTGGAAAGCTGGAAGCCCAAACCAGCTTCTTTATAGGCCAGCTCAGATATGCTTGATAAGGGAAAGGCAATTGCAGCTATGATTGGGTTAAAGTAGCAAGAGGTTGTTCTGACTCAAACAGAGGATATGATAGAATCTCACCAAGCTTCTTCCTCGGTTACTGCCAAGAAAAATATGGGACTGGTTATCCAAAGTGGCGCCTATACCTCTTTTCAATAAGATATTTTGGGTCATGACCACCATGTCACTAAGATAACAGTCAATGAGAGCAACTCTCCTCAAAAGCTCATGCAACCTGGTGTCACTTTGTCATCTAACAAATTTGAGGAGCTCAATAAGGAGGGGGCAAATTGTGGTTGATTTAAGAGCGGAGCTTGAATCTAAAGTAAACGTACCAAATGAAGTAACTGAGGAAGTCCGTAAGGAGGAGGAACTAACCAGAGCTAAACTTCAACAAATGCCAAACAAAAAGAAGAAAAGGAAGAAGAAAGACTCAAAGTCCAAGGTGGCTGAGCACCTATTGCTTAGAAAATTCAACCCCTCTATGAATTGTGCATGTTGAAACATTAGAGGTCTTAATGAGACTTCTAAACATGGGGAGGTTAGAAAAAATTATTTTTGAACAGAAGCTTGATAGTTTGGGGCTTGTTGAAACATAGGTGAAGTCTATAAATAAAAATAGAGTCGTACAGGGGGTCTTTAGATATTGGAATTGTCTAGCAAACTATGACAGTCACAACTTTGGAAGGATATAGATTGGGTGGAACCCAGTTAATGTGGAGCTTAGTAAGTTCTCTGAGTCTGACCAAGTTGTCCATTGCAAGATCAAGCATCTTGAGAGCAGGGTGCAGTTCACAGCCACTTTTGTCTATGGCTTTAATGATGATAGAGAAAGAAGACCATTATGGAGCAATCTTATCTACCATGCTAGAATCTTCTCAAATGAACCTTGGGTTGTATTAGGTGATTTTAATGCTATTAGAAGTTTACAAGAAAATGAAGGGGGACAGAATAGATGGAACTCAACAATGGAAGAATTTGACAGATGCTTACAGGATTCCGAGCTTATTGATCTCAGGTACTCAGGTATTCAATTTACTTGGCATAATAAGAGGGGTGATCATGGAAGTGTGGCTCGTAAGCTGAATAGAGCCCTTGGGAATGAAAGGTGGAACCTCACATTTCAGCAGACTATGGCGGACTTTTTACCTCTTGGTGTTTCTAACCATAGTCCTGCTGTTGTGCATTTGGGATTGCTAGTGGAAAGGAGAAACAACACTTTCAAAATTTTTAACTTCCTTGCCGAGAAAGAGAATTTCTTAGACTTGGTGAATCAGGTGTGGTCACAGCCTATTCAAGGGACGTTTTAGTATCGTGTTTGCTGCAAATTTAAACTTCTCAAAACAATGTTTAAAGGGATGACCAAGAATATTGGGGAAGTTACTGTTAGAGCCAAATAAGCCAAGGAAGCTTTGGAGAGATGTCAAAGAATGCTAGATGGAAACCCAAGTGATCTTGCCATGAATCAAGAAGAACAACAAGTCCTTGCAATTTACATTTAAGCTGCTAACATTGAGGAGGGATTTTACAAACAGAAATCAAGGGTCCAATGGCTAAGCGAAGGAGACAAGAATACTTCTTTCTTCCACAAGACTATGGCTAATAGAAGGAACAGAAAAAAGATTTTGGCTCTTATGAGAGCTGATGGTACAAGGGTTGAGGGGGAACAAGTAGTGAAAGTTGAGACTTTGGATTACTTTCAAAAGCTCCTGGGACATTCCTCTTATTCAAATGAGAGTAGGGATATGCTGCAACCTATTATCCAAAACAAAGTTACTGATCAACAAGCCGCTGAAATGGAGAGGAAATCACTGAGGAGAAAATTAAGAAAGTTTTTTTTTCCTTCAATGACCAAAAAGCCCCAGGTCCTGATGGGTTCAATGCTGTGTTTGAAGGAGTTTAATAGTACCATTATTGCTTTAGTTCCCAAGGATCCCAATCCTACAACTATGGGGGACTACAGACTTATTTCTTGTTGCAATGTCATGTATAAAGCAATATCCAAGATTATTGCCAATAGGATTAAAGGTTGTCTTCCCAGTCTTATAAACCCAAACCAAGCAGCTTTTGTCCATGGAAGAAAGATTGGGGACAACATCCTACTCACTCAAGAGTTAATGAGGGATTACCATAAAAATAAAGGGTCCCCTAGATGTGCTTTAAAGGTGGATTTGAGGAAAGCTTATGACACACTTGACTGGACTTTTCTGTTTGATGCATTGGAGGCTCTTAATTTCACTCACACCATAAGGAGATGGATTCAAGAATGCGTTATGTCGGCTAGATTCTCAGTGAACATCAATGGTGGGCTGGCTAGATACTTCCCTAATTGGAGGGGTTAAAGACAAGGTGACCCTATGTCCCCTTACCTTTTTGTTATTGCAATGGAGTGTTTATCTCTTCTTATCCAGTTCAGCATTAGTTCAAATCCAAACTTCATATTTCATTGGAGGTGTAAAACTCTCAAAATTTTCCAGCTTTCATTTGTTGATGACTTGATGATGTTTTGCTATGGAGACATGAACTCTGCTTCAGTGTGGCTTCAGGGCTTCAGATTAATGCAGGAAAGAGTAATATTTTCATGTGTGCAATAAATGAAGATACTGTTTGTCATATCAAGAATTTGTTTGGTGTTGAGGAAGGGAACTTGCCTATCAAATATTTAGGTGTGCTACTCGTTTCGTCTGGTTTGAAGTATCAACACTGCTCCAGTCTTATTGAAAAGGTGGAATCAAGAGTTAAGTCTTGGGTCAATCGATCACTCTCATATGCTGGTAGAGTTCAGCTTGTCATATCCATTCTCTGCAGCTTGCACATCTTTTGGGCCTCTCATCTGAGTCTTCCACATGAGGTTATTCATAGAACTGAATAGACCTTGAGATGTTTTATTTGGAAAGGTATTGATGTTAGGCATACGGGAGCAAAGGTCTCTTGGAAAGAGGTATGTAAACCTATAGAAGAAGGAGGGCTTAGTATCAAAAGGTTGAGGGATTGGAATAGAGCACTGCTTATGAGGCACTTGTGGCAACTTTTTAATGACAAGAAAAATTTATGTTTTCAGTGGATTCATGTCTATTACTTCAAAGGGAGAATCATTTGGGACCTCAAAGCCACTCAAGCATGCTCTTGGAATTGGAGAAATTTGCTTAAGCTTAGAGAATTGCTCAGGCCATGCATTATCCATAGGGTAGGAAATGGGAAATCTACCAGCCTGTGGCTAGATAATTGGCACCCACTTGGTGCACTCCTCCAAAGAAGCAACCCAAGGATCTTGCTAGAATCTAGAATTCCAAGGAATGCGAAGGTTAGCAGAATTATTTTGAACAACCAATGGAATTGGATAATTGGTACTTCCACTCAAGTGCAGGAAATCATTAATGCAATGCCAAACTAGCTTCCTAACCAAGATCCCAAGGACTCAGTCAAGTGGACTTTAACTACGGGGGGTATATTCTTTGCTAATTCTACCTGGGAACATATCAGGAGTGAAGTTCTAGCCATGCAATGATATAAACTTGTTTGGTATGATAAAGCTATCCCTAGAATGGCCTTCACCCTCTGGCTTGCTATTAGATGAAAGCTAAGCACCAAGGATAGAATTCAAAGATTTGCAGCTCAAATTGACCCACAATGTGTTCTATGTAGGAAAGCTGAAGAAACACGCAACCATTTATTTTTTGAATGTATTTTCTCTAACAGGGTTTGGAATGGTGTTATGCTCCTGAGCAACCAGTAATGGCAACAGAGACAATGGACTGATTCAATTTCTTGGGCTGCTCAACAGTGGAGAGGAAAATCAATGAAGACAACTATTTTAAAGCTTTGTCTTTCTGTAATTGTCTATTCTTTGTGGACTGAGAGGAATGGGAGAATTTTCAAAAAGCAGAGCAAAGACCCAAACTCTCTTCTTCAATCCATCAAGCATACCATTAGAGAAAGGCTCAAATCCTTGAAATTCAAGAGAACTCAACAAAATGCAATTCTGCTGCAACAATGGAATCTTCCTGAAGCTTGTTTGAGCTGAGCTGTCTTGGGCTGCCCACTGTTACAAGGTGTTGTGTCTTCTTCTCTCTTTTGTAGTGTAGTTGTGCCTTCTTCCCACTGTTGCAGTGCTCTACTGCACTTCTCTATGTGCTCTCTATGATCTTCTCAAATTTTTGGTCATTTAATGAGGATTTTTGTCTTTTTTCTGGGTTGTCCTGTAGTTTTCTGCCAAGCTGTTTTGCCTTGGTTGTGTTGTTGTGTGGGGTTATTTTGCCTGTTCTGTGTTGGGATGCTTTTGATTTGGTTGTTCTGTGGCTTGGGGTTGTTCTGCTTTGTTGTGTTGGGATGTTATGGTGCAGGATGTTGTGCCTGTTTCCCTCTGTTGCAGTGTTGTTGTGCCTGCTACTATTGCGGTCCTTTGCTGTTTGTAGGTCATTTGGTGAGGATTTTGTTGGATGCTTATGCCCATGGCCTGTCCCCTCCGATGGATGTTGTTGCCTTGTGTTATCTTGTGTGCTTAGGGCGTGATGTGTGTGCTTGGTACTGCTAGCTTGTGCGTTCGTCCCCTAGCTGCTCTGTTTTTGGGTTGTTGTTGTTGTATTCCATTTGCTCCTAGCTCTTGTGTTTTGTATTTTGGGGGAAGTGCGGGCCCAAGGTCTACACTTCCTTCAAACTTCAGTTCACTGGTATCTGTTTTTGTGTTGTTCTGCAGGCTTTGTATTACTGTTGGATGTATATTTGCAGTGGTGTTATGAATATATTTTTACTTTCTAAAAAAAAAAAGAAAAAAAAGATAGTTACTTAGTCATACAAATCTACGGCCCAACAAAGAACAACTGCTAGTTTAGTTCGATACTTCGACGCAGAATAATCTGGGTAATCTTCTTTATATCTTGTTGATATTTCTTCTTCATTTGATAGTTTTAAATCTAAAAATTGTCGAGAAGAGAGAGAATAAAACAAAGAACAATAAAATCCAATTCTTAACGAAAAACCTTCTTAAATATGATTAAGGTAGTTTTGTCCTTAGAGAATATTTTGATAAGTATATTGGACTTAGTGGCAAAACTCTTTTAAGCGTGTGCCCTTAAAGCCCAAAAACTTTTAAGCACATGTCCTTGAGGACTTATCTATTCATATAACAAAGGATACAAATTGAAGGCATAAAAATAACTTTTGTTTTTTATAGTTGAGATAGTTTAAATTTTATTTTAAAGTTAATTTGAAGGTTAATATTAACTCTCCATATTTAATAGGGAAAATAAGCTTTTAAGGGTGCGTTTGAAGTGACTTTTCAAAAGTGTTTCTAATACTTATAACTTCTTATAAATACTTTTAACAAAAAAAATGTGTTTGAAAAAACTTATTTTAATTACTTTTAAATAAGTTAAAAGTAGTTTTACCACTTAAATAAGTAAGTAAAAGTTAAAAAAAAATAATTTCTACTTCTTTAAAATTACTTTTGTACAAAATACTTCACCACTGCCGCTGCCACCCCACCACGACCACTTCCACACGACCACTACCGCCACCATTGCCACCCTACCACTACATATACCACAACCACCACCACCATCGCCACCCCCAAATACTACCACCGTCGTCACTCACCACCGATTGCCACCACCTACCACCATCATCTTCTCATTTTTATATTTATTACCACTACCACCATAATCCCAACACCACCGTCACCCACCGCCACCACCATCGTTGTCTACCACCACACACTACCACAACCCACCACCACCGCTATCCACTATCATCCTCCCCCCCCCACCACCGTTATTCGCCATCACCACTGTCGCCCATAAGCACCCGTTGCCACCCACCACCAACATCGTCATCGCCCACCATCACAACCCACCATTGTTGTCGCCCCACCACCACCACTGCCAACCAATATCATCGACGCCCGGTTCCACCCAGACCCATCACCCATCGTCGTCATCCATAGCTGCCCCTACCATCATTGTCACCCAAAACCCACCACCACCATCATTGTTTCCACACACTACTGCCACCACCATCACGGTCGTCGCCACTCTCCACAACCATCACCATCTCCCACCACTACCACTGCTGCCCCACCACCATTACCACTACTCACCCCCACTACAACTGATGTTTAAATTTTTTTATTTCTCCTATATGTTTGTGATTTGATTTTTGGTGTAAATACAAATATATTTGTGATTGACAATTTTTTATCACTCTGTACTTTCAAGCATGGACAATATCTAGTACTATTATAAAATGACAATAAAAAAGAAAATTGTTTGATTGACAATTTTCCCTTGTGAAAAAAAATTCCAAGTCCTTTCATGCTATCATTAAATATTCAACATTATTTACTAAACTTTTACCCAAAACTAGCCAATTTTGGAAAGTTATACCCAAAACTGGGTGACTTTGAAACTAATTTTCAAACCCATGTAGTAATAAAAACAACACTCCAACTAATGTCTTTGACTAAAAAAGGTCAGTTGGAGTGACGTTTTTTGCAATTGTAACTATCCCACCAAAGTTATAGACGTTAGTTGACTGACGTCATTAACTTAAAAATGTCAGTCCAAATGACGTCTTTATAAACACAACGTCAGTTGGACTGACATTTTTAAGTTAAAGACATCAGTCCAGCTGACGCCTTTTTTGTACAAAAGATATTATTTTTATCCTCTTTCCAAACTAAATATTTTCAAGCATTCCTTTTATGAGATGACAAAAAAGTGAAACATTCCACACATTTTTGTTTTGCTTTGCAAATGTAGAGTGCGTCTAATTTTTCTGTTAACATTTTCACAGTCGACTTTAACGATAATGTTAATAAATAATAATAAATTTTTTGCATCAGAAATACAAAGTATCATGTGCTAATAAAACATAAAACAATTTTTTTTAATTCTTTTTGGAATAGGTTTTTTTTTTTT